CTGGGCCTCTCATGCTCCAGTGGGGAGACAGACACCAAAATAAGAACTGTGACACAAGCCAAAGAAGTCAACTGTGGGGTGGGCTGAGAACTGATGGCAACAGAATTAGGGGGCAACATCCAGGCTCCCAACATGTGCCAAGACCCCACAAGCCCTTGTCAAATTCAGGGCCAGGAGCCAGACATCCTTTCCCCAACAGACAGGATGGCAGTCAGGCAAGGACCCCAGGAAGGCACTCTGTGCACACCCATGTGCTCCCTGGAAGCCAAATGCAGAGTGTGCGAGCAGAGCACATGCAGTCAAAGTTGACTGCAAGAGTCTCCCTTGGGAAACGTGCATGTGCCCCCGGCCTTCCCTCTTCCACACGCTCGTGCAGAGACCTTCGGGGAGTGCATGATTCCCTGCGGCTGGGGTATGTGATGCTGCCCAGAGGTGAGGGCATCTAAGACAAATGCTTGAGTGAATGGTGGAGCTGTATACAGATGTTCACTCACTCAGCAAGTCCAGTGGTTATTGAGCACTGGTGACTGAGAAAAGCCCCCCATGCCCCAGTGAGGAGCTCACAGTGGGGGCAAGGTACCTGCAATTTGCTACCACCCCTATGCTACAGATGATGCGAGAAATAGCCATGGGGCCACAGGACGGGTGTATGACCAGATCCTCTTAGGAAACTTTTAGAAGGTTAATAATTAAGCCTTGACAGTCTAGTAGGCATCGGCCAGGTGAAAGAGTGGGGGCAGAAGCATTCTGGCAAAAGAGCAGGACTAGAAGCTGGGGCACATGACCCAGCAGGTTGTATGAGGGCATGACATGAGGCTGTCCAGTGGGCACAGGGATATGCAGGAACAGGCTGGGGGCCACTGCAGACGAAAGGACACGCAGTGCTTGAGTGGGGGTGTGGGCAATGGGAACCCTTGAGGGTTCAGCAGCAGATGTACAATAGTCAGGCTAGGGTGTCAGACACTCAATTCTTGGCCCTGTAGGAGGAGGAATCTGGAAAACAGTCAGACCTGGGGGATGTCCTAATATTAGTAACACAATGACTCTCAATCTCATGGTCAATATCATTGTTTTAAAGGAAAAAAAGTGTCCACAGCCTGTTAACAAACTACCCAAGTTATCATGACTTCGAGGTCATGTTAGTGGAGTCTGGCAATGAGACTCTTAGGATCCTGCTGAGGGCAGGGTCTATGGTGTTGGGGACAATGAGGAGGGGCTCCTAGTGGGAAGTGCCCTTCCAGTTCTAGGCTCTTACTCTAAGACTGAAAATAACTATCTAATGAGAAGATGTGGTCTCTAAACTCTGAATCTAATTTTTAATGATTTGATTGCTAGCTAGAATCAGTGTTAAAATGTCTCAAATAGCATCTTCAGCTAGAATTTTCCTCAGAAGAGACATATATTTCTGAAAAATAGAAGGCATAAAATAATTCAGAAAGGAAAAAAAAAGCCCACGAGTATGCCAACAAATCTCTGTAAATACTAATTTTAAGTTTTAAGAGCAGACTGAAGGCCAACACAGTTTTAATTTGACAAAGTCCGAGCGCCCCCTGATGGTTAGCCAGGCACCCTGCAGCAAATGCCATTTTTTTTTAGCTGCCTGGGGTCAACTTGTTAACTCACCTAGTCAAGCAAGTGACTGTTCTTCCATGCTCTGTGTAGAAAAAATAAAGTATGTGGGTTTGTGAGGAGAAACATGTAGGATATTTAGGCAGCTGCTTATTCAATAGCATTTAAGGAGAATGCAGATTTGTTTAGCCAGAGACGGAGAATGGGGGCTTTAATAGAACCTAGAGGACTTTCAGGAAAACTCCATTTTTATTTCACTGGTACTGATTCCTTGTGATCTTTGTATTATCCCAAGGGAAAATGGCACAGTGACCAGGCAAGAAGAGAGACACCATGGTCCCCACCAGAGCATCAGCTGCAGCCTGGCGCCCTCCACTGGCCACGCCTGTGGCTGCAGGGTGGGCACAGAATGCCACCCACAGCGGCCCTGCCAGGGTGCCGTCCCTGGGTGACTTCTGCTACCTTTCCCCCAGGCAATTATGCTGCAAGCACACATCCTTTTCTTTCCCTAAAATGTTATCTCGATCCAGTCGGTAAACTGAAGTTACATGGCAGGCTGTTAAAATATACTCTCCATTGAATAAATGGATCCCGGAGCACGAAAACCGCTTCCTGGGGAAGGTAAAGCGAGACAATGTTTGCGGAGGAGAGGAAGCTCTGGCATGCACCCCTGAACAAAAGAGAACAAGTGGTCTTTACTCGGAGAACGGCTTCCTATTAGGACTCACTCCTTCGTACATTATGCCTTTCATCCCCACTCAACCACAAAATGATTTTGCTGAAGCAAATACAATGGTAGAAAAAGATTTACACTGAAAGAATCTTTAATAATAAACTGTTGCCGATCTGCCTACTTGCCCGTGATTTATAATACAATAAACATCGGATTCTATTACGGCTCATGCACTGAAGCTGCTGCTCTGAAAAACGGAATATGAAAGCACCCGGATCCCACCACCATCACAATGAAATGAGCATGTATAAATGTGCTAAGAGTATCTCTTTGCATCTTTTATAGCTTGTGTGTATTAATCTGTAACGCTTATTAAGAAAGTCATTGCTATGCAAAGCAGCACCCAATCCCTTTCTCTGGCTTTTCAACAGAGTGCACTGTTTAGCCAATAGGACGGACCCTCTGGCCCTCATTCTGCATTCATCACAGGCAACATTTGCACAATGTATCTCTCAAAGGCGGCTGAAAAGAAGGCCTTAATACTCATGTAAACAACTGCAAACCAATTACTTAATGAATCAGGCCCACACATAATGAGGTGCAGACAAAGAGCTATAAATGCATTTTTGCACCCAAGCCGCTGCTTTAAAGTAAAATCCCTCAGCTGTAGTTTGGGCTTAACTAGCACATCATAATTATTGTCTCTAGGACATCAGAGGAGGCCCCCCCCCTTTTTTTTAAGGTCCAGCGGGGTCTTTTTTTTTTTTTTTTTGAGGTTGCTCATCAGCTCACTGACAAAATAGAGCAAAGAAGAATTTTTAAAAGTGCTGCAGCAGCACTGCACTGTTATGTTTATTCTGAAGTACTGGGTTTCGAGACCACTTGTAAAAGCAATAAAGCACAAGGAGTGACTGCAGTAAGTGGGATCCTTAAATGTAAGCCTCTAAGAAATTTCAGTGAATCCAGGAGCAAACAGCAAACCCAGAGCTCTCCAAAGCCCAGGGTGCTGTACTGACAACACCAAACCCAGCACAGGAACCACGCCGTGACAAACAGCATGCCAAACCCAAACACTCAACGCCCAGGCCTTTTCATCACTGGATTATTATCAAGGGTCTAGAACCAAAGGTTCCTTGAAGACCTTTTTTTTTTCCTTCTTAAAGGGGGTGATGAGATGACTTGTAATTTATTTAGAAAATTAATTTCATGCAGGAACGATAGGTCCTTGACTCAGAATGAAGGGGGAAGACAGTGTGAATTTACTTTAGTGAAATACAGACACAAGCCTGAGGAAATGTTCTTGGGGCCCAGCTGCTTTCTAAATGTATTTTAAAACTGCCTCAAGCATGTATACCTATAAAGACAAGTTAAAGAAGAATTGAGCCTTTTCATGCCCCTAAGATATAATGGAAAAGAGCACTTTTAACAATCTTTAACAACTACAGCATGTGTTATTGAGCCAAATGATATAGGAAGCCCCGAAACTACCTGTAGAATTCACTACCTTTAAAGTATTAAATTTAAATTTAAAGTATTAAATTCACTACCCTTAGAAGACCCAGAACTTGAATTTACAGTATAATCCAAAAAACATTAACACTTTAGCACTCTTCCTGTCCCATGATTCATTTCCTCCCACTTCCTTCAAAAACATGGATGAAAACCCAGGTATTACAGATGCTAATTTCTGAGAACTATGTGAGTGATTTTCTAAAATTGAACTTGTCAGGCAGGTTTCTAAATGCAACAATCTAATTTTAGAAAATCAATCTCATTTTAAGATATTCCGAATCCTAAAAATATTACAATGTTTTTCAAAATAGAAGTGAAAGAAAGTAGGATCTTTTTATCTTGCATTTTAAAAATACTAGATTTCTGGATCAAATCACTTTGTCTTATGGGACACTATATGTGACATTAGAAATGTAAAGTTTCTGTTTTAAAATTTTATCAGGGTAAGAAGCTCATTCACAAGTAATGCAATCATCTAAAGGACATTGCTTTAATGAGAACTGTTATCACAAAAGGAAATTTGTGCGGTTTTAAGCAACACACAGCCCGAAGCCAAAACGGTAGGTATCTCCTCAGACAACTGCTTCTATTCCCACTGATAAATTCTTTTTGACCCAACGCCACTGCACGGTCAGTATTTCATGTCGATGACAAATCCAGCACACAACTCACCAACTCGCTTATTGTTGCCTGGAAAACTTACGAGAAGGGCTACAGTTTCCACAGATGTGAAAGGATAAATTTTGTTCTTTCTGGACAATAAGCAGGGAAGTTGCAGGAAAGGAAAGGGTAACCCAGCCCAAAGGCTTGGTGAAAAAGAGGAATACGAAAACAAATCCCCCAGCAATTGCCAGTATATATGTCAGCCGCCTCAGGAAGAAGAAACAGGCCACTTTATTTCTTTTAAGGCCCGATGTTTTCTCTCTGCCCTTTTCCGACACCCTCCATTGTGTGGTCTCTAAGCAGCCCTACCGCGAGCAGCTGTAGACGCTAATTTGTGGTTCACTGAGGTGTCAATTGAGTCTTAAACCAACGAAACAACAGCTGCAAAACAATGCTTGGCTCTGGTGCAAATATTTTCAAAGGTAGACTGAAGTTTCAACTGTTATTTCAGATCAACAGAAACCCAAACCGTAACCTTCCCTCGAGTCACACAACAAAATAATACGCAGCCAGAGTTTCATTCATTACGAAGTGACATTTCTCATCTTGTCGCCGCTGTCCAGAAAGGCTTTCACGACTTTACCTTGACAAAGGACTTCCTTCGCTCGATGAAAAACTAGCCTCCAAAGCGATTTTGTTAGCTGTCTTTGTCTTGAATGTCCCGCTGCCAATGTTCAGACCTGTGAGAAGCACAAACGTGGAGCGTGAGTGCTGGCCGCCACGCAGCGAAGAAACGCACTGAAAGGCGCAGCAGCCGCACGACAACTTTGGTGGAACAAACGTTGATGGGGGAAGACGCTGTTCAAGCCGCAGAAGGCAAGGGAGCTTCTGAGGCAAGGAACAACATGTTGGCAGAAAGCTGAAAGGAAGTGTGTGTGTGTGTGTGTGTGTGTGTGTGTATGTGTGTGTGTGTGTGTGTGTGTGTGTGTGTGGCGGGGGGGGGCTCTGTGTATGTGTTCCTGAGACACACAGAAGCCACAAAAAGTAAAAATCACTCCAAGAGCTCTATTTTAAATGACCAAGACACGCGTGCACATGTATGGTCTCTCCCCTGGCACTAAGCACTAATAATCCACCTTGTTGTAACACGTGGACCCCGGCAGTGAGAGGTCACCAAAATGATGGGTGCTGGGAACCAGGTCTCAGAAATCACTGACACCCCAGGGTGATAGTTACCTCTCTGCCAAATCCTCTTTTTTCCATCTTGTGAAGGAGAATGAACCGCCATTGAAAGCCATCAAGGCCACTCTTTAACCAGCCTGACAAGGTTGATGGGGAAAGATGCACAATCTACCTCTTCCCTGGAAAGGGGGAACCAGACTGTCCCCACAGGGCAGGCCTGACCCCCACCTCCTGGGCACCCTTGGATGTGTCGGCTACCAGTCTGATTCCAAACTGGTGGTCACTGGTGTCACAGTTGGAGAGTGCACAGGCATCGCTGGGAAAGGCACTGGCTGAGTTTCTGACCTGTAACCTGCTCGCCTCACAGAACATCCACAGTGAAGTGATGCTCTTAACAAGGTATCCACGTTTGCCCGAAGAGAGTCCCCACATGATTAACACGACAAGGTCTTTTCAGACGTGAAAATGAAGGCACAAGGTTGAAGTGGCTTGTCTTAGTGACAGGTCCAGAGACACAGCCTAAGACATCTGACACAAAAAGTAACTGAAATCTGCACTTCTTCCACAATTAGATGTAGGGGGGGCTCCCGAGTTCAGGATACTCACCCCTCCCACTACCTGTAACAAGCCTGTTAGGTCTAACACAGGTACATGGCTTCCATTTCCCTCTGCCCTCCCAGCTCACTTCCTGCTTTTCTTTGGAGCTCAGAGAAGTCCCTGGGATTAGAGTGGGCGTGAATCTGAAAAACTGTAACCAACTGTAAAATAAATCCTAGAAGCAGCATCTAACTACAGTGTCAGCCAGGACCATGAGAAGGGCTTCTGTGATCCCAGTGTTAGAAGATCTGGAATTTTGCAAAGCACATAGTGTCATTTTGAGGGTAGAGCGAGGAGAATGAATGAGGGGTGCCTGACAATACAACCTATCACTTCACTTATGAATAATTAATCAACAAATATATTAGTTAGTACTATATTAACAGTACCAAGCCATTTGATATATAGCCAAGGGACTATAACTTATGTCGACTTTATTAATCCTTTGGGCCTGTCCAATGAACTATCGCAAATATACTTAGCATAAACAGACTTGTGGAATCACCTTCCAAACGTGTGTGTCTGCTGACGGGCTCTACTGCTCTGAGAGAGGCCTCTCTCTCTTGGGACCCCATTTGTAAAATGAGGGGTTAGATAAATACTTTCTAAGACCCCTCGGGACTCTAATTCTGTGACTCAAATGTGAAGAAGGCGATGAAAAGCCCAGTTGAGGGCTCACAAGTGCTGTATCTTTCCAAAGTGCTGAAGACCTCCACCGGGGCAGAGGCCCTGCTTTCTACAGCAACAGACTGCAAGGTCTCATGTTTGCGGAGATGAGGTCACCACCACCACCGCTCTCCAAACACTGTTCTCTAACAGGCGCTATGCTGGGCATTTAACCTGCAGTGACTCACTGAATCCTCAAAACAACCAAAATAACTGAGCTTTGCAGCAACTGATTCTAACACTAATATTATCTAGGAAATAGCTCTCCAAAGACAGACAGTGAATACTGATATACTGTAAGTACGTCCCTCAAAAAAAAGGTCTCATGAGACAACTGGGAAATCTGGGTATGGACTGGGAATTATGTGATTTTTAAAAAAAGTCACTATTCCAGTAGGTGAAATTATGACATGGTGGTTTATGTAAAAATAAGAAAGTAATTAAAGCATATGTCGACGCATTTACTTTCACAAAGGGAGCCGAGGTGACTCATACTAAAAAAAAAGGTGTAACAAGAGAAAGACCACTGAAAACAATAAAAATACAGTAACAGAATGTATGAAAACAAAGAAAATTACAGTTCCAACAAAAATTCTAGGTTGAAGGAACTATATTTAAGCTTAAAATTTAGCTTTACTGCGATTTAGAGTATTTTCATTTAAAGAACACAAGTCCCCCGACATTCTAGGGAGGGAAGGTAGCCTGGCCTGATGTTCCCATTCATGATTAAGGAACTGGGAGATGTAGAGAAGGGAAGGAATTTGGGGTGTTTCCAGTGGTACTTAGTGACAGGTTACTATCACGACATACCAGGTAGAATCCGAGGGTTCTGTTTGGGCCGTTGCCATGCTGGGGGCCAGCACATACCCAGGAGGGAAGACTTCCAAACTGTTGTTCATTAAGAACTGAAAAAGTACTGGTTTAGTCTGACCTGGTGACAGCTTGTTACAAAGCGATCTCCAGAAACCTTCAAAGGATGACCACCCTTGCCTGAACACAGCACCGGCTGCCCCCCTAAGTCCCCTGGACACTGGCTTTGAGTGCTGAATATGCTCTGCTTACCTGACAGTTGTAACACAGAAACATCCATCTTTTGGAATCTGTCATCAGTGTGATTTATATTATCCTGAAGGGTAGACTGCTTCAGCATCTGGTAGGCTTTTGTTTCTACAGATTTAAAAAAAGACACAGATAACTGGATATCCACATGCAAAAGAATAAATTTGGACCCTTGCCTTACACCACACAAAAATCAATTCGAAATGGTTTACAGACTTAAACACAAGACCTAAGACTATTAAATCCCTGGAAGAAAACATAGCAGAAAAGTTTCAGGACATTGGACTTGGCAATGATTTCTTGGATGATACTAGTAACCTAGTTGACAAAATTAAAAATAGACAAATAGGACTCTAACAAACTTACAAACTGTTGCATGTCAAAGGAAAAAATGAATAGAGTGAAAAGGCAACCTACAGAATGGGAGAAAATGATTAAAATAACATATTTGACTAACGGTTAATATCCAGAATATATAAGGAACTTCTACAACTTGACACCATCACCACCACCACCAACAACAACGAATGACCCAGTGAAAAGGTGGGGAAAGAGCTTGAACAGACCTTTCTCCAAAGAAGACATACAAATGGTCAATAAACACAAGCAAAGATGCTCAAAATCACTAATCATTAGGGAAATGGAAATGAAAATCACAATGAGATAATCACATCCGACCCTCAGAATGGCTACTATCAAAAGAACAGAAAATAACAAGTGTTGGAAAAGATGCAGAAAAGTTGGAACCCTGTGCACTACAGGTGGGAGTGTAGAATGGTGCCACCATTCTGGAAAATACTATAGAGGTTCCTCAACAAGTTACATATAGAACTGCCAAATGATCCAGCAATCCTACTTCTGAGTATATATCCAAAAGAATTGAAAGCAGGGTCTTGAAGAGATATTGGCACACCCATGTTCACTGCAGCATTATTCACAATAGCCAAGAAATAGAAGGAACCCAAATGTCCACCAACAGATGATAAACAAAATGCAGCATAGATATAGAGCTGAATATTAAGCTGCCTTTAAAAAGAAGGAAATCCCGACAACATGCTACAACATAGATGAACCTTGAGGACATGATGCTAAGTGAAATAAGCAGTCACAAAAGAACAAATACTATATGATTCTGCTCATATGAAGTATTGAAAGTAGTCAAAATGAACGAAACAGAAAGTGGAAAGGTGGTCACTGAGGGCAGGGGGGAAGGGGAAGGAGGAAATCAGTGTTTAGTGGGTATAGTAGTTCAGTTCTGCAAGATGACAAAGTTTCAGAGAGCTGTTGCACAATAATGTGAATGTACTGAACACTACTGAACTGTACACTTAACTTGGTTAAGATGGTAAATTTAATGTTATGTATTTTTTATCACAGCTAAAAAAAAAAGTAGAGTGACCAGACATCCCAATTTGTCCATGACGATGCAGGTTTATGCCTGTTGTCCCAGTATAACTATGAATAGAATTCCCTTTTGTTACCAAATGTTTCCTTGTTTGGATAGTGACTTATCTGGTCACCCAGACCAAATGCAGTGTGGTGGCACAGTCTGGCTACTGACTAAAGAAAAAAAAAACTGTAAAAAACATTAAAACACTGACTGGATAGTTGATGATACTGACAAATTATTATTAATTGTTTCAGTTGTGGAAAAAAGGCACAGAAATACAGAATATTCTTTTTTTTTAAGATTTTATTTATTTATTTGAGAGACAGAGTGAGAGAGAGCATGAGAAAGCGGGGTGAGGGGGTGAGGGGCAGAGGGAGAAGCAGACTCCCCACTAACGAGGAAGCCCAATGTGGGGCTCACTCCTGGGACTCTGGGATCATGATGTGAGCCGAAGGCAGATGCTTAACCGACTGAGCCACCCAGGCACCCCAATACAGAATATTATACGACCCAGAGAAGTTTCTTAAATTCTTCCTATAATGTTAACACTTTCAAACGCATGCAAATTATTTTTTGAACGTCACTTTTTAGAAATTCTGAAAACAAACAAAAAACAATTTAGTTGAACCCAGGTTTCAAGACTCGAAGACAAGTTGTAGGAGTTTATCTTCATGAAGTGGCCAAATTCCAGCCATTATTTTGAGTGGGGTTGTGGGTAAGGCTCCACATCCTAGTAAAATGGTTTCTCTCTTCTCTGGGCCTTGCAGAAGCCACTAGAGGAACGAATCCAAGAGACAGCACTGATTGCTTTGGTCTCCCAGTCCCTCCAGGGCACTCCTGGCTCTAGAGGGCAGTGAGGGCTGAGGAAAGGCTGGGTGAGGGCAGGAGGGCCAGGAAGACCAGCTGCCACAGGATGTGCGCAGAGGCCCGCAGCTGAGAAAATTAAACCTAGGCTTATTGTAGGGACAGAGCAAAGCCAGGTGCCCCAGAAGGGTCAGCAGGAACATGGACCTGACACCCAGGTCCATAGGACAGGGGGCCCTGTGGGGCTTTTAATCATGTCTGCCGCGAGTTAATGTGGGAAGACTACTGAGAACAGCGACGAATAAAAACCACATAAAGGACCGGAGTGACACAACCTTCCCTATCACCTCAAGTCTCCAGGATACCTGAATGAAACCAATAGCACAGACATAACAAAACAGGATCCACAGCTGTATCTTCAACGTGGCCACAAAAATAAAAGGATTCCTGCTGTCAGCACCAGGGGCTGCATTCCTGCGTTTGCTGGCTCCCATTTAAGAACTTAACCATGAGCCCCTTATTACTGGATTAAAACTACCATCACACTGAAGAATAAGAATATAACTTCTCTGGTCTTACTAAGAATCAATCAAGATAAAAATAAGTATTGAAAATGAGCATCGTATTTTGGAATGCTAAATGATACATAATTAAAATATGTACAGATCAAGGACTCTTTACTCTGAAAATAATAAATTCTAAGGCAACATTTTTAAACACTGTTGGATTGTGAAATCAGTTTGGTGCATTGGAACAAGATTTGTGAAAAATTTAATACAGAAAACACCAGATGCAGTGCATGCAGAATGGGAAAGTACTGTTGTGTGTCCTGTGTGTATGTGTGTGTATGTGTGCGCGCACGCATGCATGCTGGCCTGGGACAGAAAGTATTTTTTGCTGTAGATTAGTCTCATTGTCCTAGGGTGGCTCCAATAGGATGGCATCATAATATTCTCCAATTAATCCTAATGTCCATTATTACTTCAGACTTGTTGTAAGGTTATTTGGGGAGAGGGGAGATATTAACAAAATCAAAGACAGAGCAGAGCCTCTGGATTCTAAGTAGGTAAAACATCACTGTAAAGGAGGGGGAAATGTACTGTTTTGTTTTTATTTTATAAAAACTTTCCAGCTTTTAAGATCTAAGTCCAGAGCATAATGACCCTATGCTATTTCTGCATTCAATTACACTTAATTGGTCAAGGAAGAGATAGTGAAGACAGACATTTAACAACAACAAAACACAGAGGCTCCTGGCAGCTGGAGGCTGGGATTGGGGTTCCTCTCGTCTATTATCTTAAGGTAAATCATTTCACTCCAGTGGGCTGGCTTTCCTGCTTCTCAGAGACAAGAAAGACATGTGCCTTTTATTTTCAGGATAGAGTTTTTCTGAAAAATGGCAAGCTAGTAGTTGAAAGGTAATTTCAGATTTGGGGGGAATTAAATGTTCCCATCCAAATATTAAACAGTACTAATATTGTTAGTGGTCTAAGTCTAGCAAGGGAGAAATGTGAAGTGAGTTCACTCTTAGCAGCAAGGGACCATTTTACTACTCCGGAAAGATCAGCCATTTCCATGTTCTACATACTTTCTATTCTGGTTTCCTTCTTCTTTTTTTAAACTGAGGTATAATTGATATACAACATCATATTAATTTCAGGTATACCACATAATGATTCAGTATTTGTATGCGCTGTAAAATGATCACCACAGTAAGTCTAGTTACCATCCATCATCTTAATAGTTACATTTTTTTTTCCTGTAATAAGGACTTTTAAGATCTACCTTCCCTTCCTTCTTAAGGGGCTTGGGCTCTGTAACTGGGCTGTGGCCTTTCCCTTCAAGGCTGCTCCAAGTCTGCTTTGAGAGATGGCTCATCTCTCCTGTTCCGTTCAACCAGAGCCCAACCCTCTTCCCAACCATGGATCCTCACTGGTATTTGATCTTTAAACCTTCTGTGGCCCTTCTCTAATAAGTCGCTGAAGCCCACCCAGACACATTTTATCTGCAGCTGCCCTGACCTGAGTGAAAGAGGGTTTTGGCAAAATCAAGCTGAGGACTGCTGGGCACATCGCCTGCCCCATCCCTATGCATGATTCCTTCAATGGTTTAAATGGCAAAGTGAAGCTTAAAAGGTAAAATGATTAAATGCATTCACTGGGAGGAATAGACACTAATGGAGACAGGACCAGAGACACCAAAACAGCTGGAGGAGTTGGAGCAGACTGTGCTGTTGGCCATCAGGAGGTCTGTGTTGAGGATCAGGTGCTCAGAGCTAGGAATTACTCTCCCATGGAATGTCCGTATCCTTAGTTTAGCCAGTAGAGCTGCAATAAGCAACATATGGAGGACTGGGAGCTCACCCAAAAACGGTATGGTAAAAAAAAAAAAAAAATAACCAGGAGAGGCTAAAGGCTACATAGCCTGTGTAGAAATAGGGGAAGAAGGGTTCAAGTACACAGATACTGCACACAGACTGGACAGGGCAGGACTGTAAATGCAGACGCTTTCTGGGGCCAAGCAGGTACCGTACATAAGGTACTCTGGTGGGGTGAGAGCGGCAGGAAGGGGAGCCCTGTAGCAGGCTGGAGAGCACGTGCCTCCTCCAGAGGGGACAGCTGATTTGCTGTCGGGTGGGAAAGAGGGACAGACTTCTTGCCAGACTTCTATCTTTTTTAAAAAAATAAAACCCTGCACAGGCCAAACAGTACTTGCCACCTCAAAACTTGAAGATGGTGCACAATTTTTTCTGTGTTCACTGTATAAGCACAAGAACCCTTAGAGAAAAACTTCAGCCAAGGGATACAAGTTCGATGTCAGGAAAAGCCTTCCCAGTGGAAAGTTGATTGGAATGTACTATCAAGGGGGGCTGCAACAGCTGTGTGCTTTTTAAATGGCCGTCTGTATTAAAGGG